TTAAGATATTATATTTAAACCAAGTTTTATATAAGGCAGTAACAAATTCTAATTCACAGAGATTTACTATTCAAATTTAGATGATTTATTGAAAAAAATAAAAACTTATCTGATATAACAGGAGGTAGTTATATTAGGGTGATTTTTATGGTATATTAGGCCTTCTTCAAAGGGACTTGAACGATATTCTTCGGATAGCACCAAACTCTTATAGGTATAAATCTTCATAAACTTAAATCTCCAGAAACTGTTTTAGATATAACTTGAAATAAACTTCTTTAGATATAACTCGAAATAAACTTCTTTAGATATAACTCGTACTAAACTTCTTAGATACAGCTTGAACTAAACCGTCTAGATATAGCCAGGCTAAAAGGAAAAGGTAAAAATATTAAGAAAGGAAATATGAAATTTGCACAGGAACCAGATAAAATGCCTTTAACTAATAATTGAACAATTTAAAACTATTTTAAGTGAATAATCTTATTTAATATATTTAAATATAGTAAAGCATAATATCTCATTCCAAACAAAATAATATATAAAATTATATAAAACGTGTTATCCATGTTTTATTCATGTATTGAGGTTATGTTTAAAATTTTACATTTCATTTAAGAAATTCTTGTACAAAATATATATTTTCAACAATATATCGGTATTAAAGCTTACCTTATAAAATCAGACGGCCAATAAGAATATTAAAAGATAATTAGTACATCGGATGTCCAAGATAATTTAAAATTCAAATCAACTTGATTCGTTGACATTCGCAAAGCAAATAAAAAAGAAGAAGACGAAAAATTACATTTGAGTAGAAATGTTTGTGTCAAAATAACGAAAACGGTTTCAACCGTTACAAAGTCCAGACTAACCACCCACCCTTAAGCTTTTTTATATACAGGGTGTTTCCGAACTTGGCGTCCAAATTTGTAGGGGTGGTAGTTCGCATAATTTGAGGGCGATTGGCAGATTTCATTTTTCTAAACAAATTATAATAAACAAAATAGAGCCATTATAAAAAAAAAATCAAAGAGCAGGTCCTACCCTGAGCGCGTAGCGCAATAGTCCTCAAAAACAGATGCGATTTGCAATTTTGTTGATTCTAAGCGTAGAGCGCGCGAGTCGAGGCGTTCCTATCGCTGTGCAGGACCATACCTGTTTATAATTTTTAATTAACTTTTAATTATTTTTATTTTAAAATATTTTGGAAAAATGAAATCTGCGAATCGGTCTCAAATTATGCGAACTACCACCCCTACAAATTTGGACGTCAAGTTCGGAAACACCCTGTATATATATATATATATATATAGACATAGAAACGGTCATTGTGCAGCCCATTCTATATACAATCAGTACTTTGTACAGCCCGAAATAACGTTGTTCGGCCCACTGCTGGGCTGAACAACGTTTTACGTGTATATCATTGCCAATCGGCGAATAATACTGTAAGACTCTATTCTTTAAAATTTAAGGAGGGCTTAACATGGGCTCGTATAGCCATATTTTTATACAAAATAGTTCATAGGAGTCGCCTGTTGGTGGCGCGCTAAGTAAGTGTATCTAGAACAGAAATCGCATATCATTTTACGGTCGTTGTGTAGCCTGGTATTTAGAAACAGTTCGAACACAAACAATAACAAATTATAAGTAATATTATATGTTTATAAAGAAAAAGTGATTAACAGTAGTTGTTTACATTTCTGTTTCAATAATAACGCTGACAAATAATTTGACTTTTTATTAACCGACTTCAAAAAAGAAGGAAATTCTCAATTCGTCCGAATATTTTTTATGTATGTTCAGCGATAATTCTTTACTACGTTAGCTGAATTTTATAATTCGTTTTTTGTTAAAAAGGGGATACCTTAGGGGTAATTACATATACAGGATGATTTATTAAGCATGGCGACCAGCTGTATCTCAGAATATCTTAAAGTAAATTTTTTTTTTAAAGAAACAGCTCAAGGCGGGTATCTTTCTATAATATTCTCAACTGTCATATGTGATTCCTCTCCCATACGTCAATCCAACCAATACAATTTAAATAGGAAAAGTACCAAGTATGATACATCGTCGGAAAGGTTTTTTAATAGGGAATTCAGCAATATTACTGTTTATTGCGTTCCTTTTAATTTTAGCGCCTTCTAGCGGGATAAAAAATGATTACCTATGGTAAAGTGTGACACTTCATTTGAAAGCTAATTATATTAGTAATTTAATACACTACGTAATATTATGTTAACTAAATCAAAATTGAACTAAAAAGGAAAAAGAATGCATTATAATTAAATTTATTTTGTTGCAAGTGTAATATGGTTAATGTTTTGTGGTGTTAAATATAAAAATTTAAAAACATTTTACTAAATTTGGCAAACGATAATTGGTGTTATAAGATACACATACCAGCTAAAAAAAAAATTAGTTAAATAAACTTTGCCAATAGCTTATGTGACACCTTAATCCCTTTTAAATTTTACGTCACTGTCCGAAAACTTGTTTGGACTATAATTTTAATTATTTTGATGTTTAAAAAAAAAACGTGTACTCTAGCTGGGAACTCAGAAACTGATTTGTTTACGAGATATTTGCACTCAAAGGTATATACTTCTACATTTTAATTTATTTTTAAATTTTAAGGTTTGGAACATTTATTTTATTTTATAAATTCCCAACAAATTTTGTAAAATTATACTAAGTAATAAAAATTATAGCCATTAATAATTTTTGAAATTTCAACTTTAATACCGTACATCGCGGAAAAGATTAACATTTTAACTAATAATGTTTTATTTAGTGGTCTTATTTTTATTCACAGAATGTTTAGTAGTTTAATTGTTATGTTTGCCTGTATGTACAAGGTGTTACTTAAGTATGTACAATAAATTTAACCGACAATTATTTGAGAGATTTTAAGATAAAACATTTATATAAACATGGGTCCGAAAATACTTCGTTTTCAATATACAGGGTGTTGAACTTTAAAAAAAAAAAGACTCTTCTTAAATATTTTAAATATTCTCTGTCCAATTTTGTTGAAATTTGGCAGTCTTATTTTTAGTTTCAAGGACCTAATTTAGCTTTCAACTTTATTAAACTATTTTGTCCCTTAAATCTTTTTCGTATATTGCTTGGTTTTCAAAAAAAAAAATAAAGTTAATTGCATATCTCTGGACCACACAAGAAACTCGGAACGCCACTGGACTTCATAAATTTAAGCAAGTTGAGAGACATATTAACCCCTTAACTGAGCCAACTTAAGACAAAATTAGTAAGGAATATTTAAAATATTTCCGAAAACTCAAATTTTTCAAAAAAGTTTAACATCCTGTATCTTGAAAACGAAGCATTTTCGGACCCATGTATATATAAACTTTTTGTCTTAAAATTACTCAAAGAATCGCACGTTTAAATTTATTCTACATATTTAAGTAACACACCATATAAATATTATTTATTATCTACATTTGAGTGTAAATACCGTGAAAACCAATCACTTTATGAGTTCTTAACAACCGTACATAATTTATTTAAAAAACATCAAATATGTAAAAGTATATTCCAAATAAGTTTTTGGTCAGTCGCGTAAAAATTTGTAGGGGACGAAAGTGTTCCTTATCCATGTTGTGCGCCACTGGTAAAGTTTATTTATACTGATAGATGTATTTTATGACACCCCAAAAATGTTTACCGAATTTAATAAAATTATTCTGAGAAATAAAAAACTGTAGCCAATAATATTTTTTAAATTTTCAACTTTAACGCCCTGTATTTCGGAAAGCAGTAATATTTTATCCAAGCATATTTCGTTCAATCGTCTTATTTTTAATCAGAGAATCTTCAGTTGTTCTGTATCTCATTCTTAATGAGACACCCTGTATAACAGAAAAAATTTTAAAATGACAGTTTACTATTTATTTTAAAATTTTTGAAACTTTAATATTAAATAATAACAGTTTTATGTGATTGTTTTATGTTTCTTCAAATTGTGTATCAAAATAAAAATGTTAAAAAACTGTATTCAACTTATATGGTTGATTAATAAAATTGTGTCTTAATAATATGTTATTGCCAAACACTTTACCAAATAAATAAATAAAAGAATTCAATTTTAATTTGCATTAGAAATTATTTAATGTAAATTTATTTCAAGAAATATTTTCACTCAACCAACAAATGAAATAAATAATTGCCGGTAACCAATAAAGCGCGAAAAGTGAATGATAAATAAACTCATAAGGTACACCGCTCCTGAAAAGAAATATCAAAATCGACGCTAAAGAATGCAATAAAGCTGATAGCGATAACATAAACATGTCGTAAAGTCTGCAGCCGAGCGAAAATTAAAGGAATGTGGATATTATTAGCAAGGGATACACAACGACCTATTATTATCTCGGGCCACACTGCGATGCAAATGTATTAAAGAATAAATTTAATACGAGCAAGGGTTAAACAACGACCTAATATTATCTCGGGCTAAACAGCGGCGCAAATATAGGTATATATATATATATAATATAGAAACGATTTAAAAATTGCAACTTTAGGGCCATCTAGCGCCCAAACTGAGTAACTTCATACTGAGCTAAGTGTTTTGAGAATATTCAAGTTGACTAATGTTGTTATTAATGACTGAATGAGTAACAGTACCAAAGTGTTGTATTTTCACTGTTGTACATGAATTACCGTGATTATCAAACAAACTACTTTCGATACAAACCATTATCTGTCAGTTATTATCGTTATGCGGTTATCATCATACTCATTAACAAAAATTTTCTTTCTAAATATTATTTCGTAGTACTCTTAAATATCGATAATTTTTTTCATTACATTCCAATTTTTGGAAAATATAACTCGTTGCATTTTCTTTGTCTGGCTTTTGTGACATTTCAAAAAATTATCGTATCAAATCTTAACAAAGTCCAATATTAAGGACCTAGATTTGAACTATCTTTTTTTGACCTAGATTTGAACTATAAATTTTGTTCTAGGCGAAACCTGTAGAAAAAGACCAACATCCCTTTGACCGTTTAACAAACGAATGCAGAGCTGAGTTAGGAATAAGTCCGCCTTCAGGAGAAAATGCAGTCGGTTCCGTTGCCAAAGATGGTCGCCTCTTGTTATGCTTGAATCAGAAATTGGGTATAATGGATTCCAAAGGAAATATCGATGCAAACGGTTTAAGAAAAGTTATCTCTGAGATGGGATTACCGGAATCAAGCGTTAATGAAATTGTTGAAAGATGCGGAAAGCAAACTAGCGATAAAGCCGAAGAAAATGCCATAGAACTCTTCCGTTGTATTCATAAAGATGTTTGATACAATTTTGTGTATAAAATTATTGTAAGAATATGACGTATCTATTATAATAATAATAATAATAATAATAATGTTTATTCAATTCAATTCAATTCAGTACAGTACATAAATTCAATAATAAATATAAATATAAGGATAGATACATAAAAGTTAGGATAAATACAAGTAACATATTATTAAAAAGACTTAGTAACTACCTCATTAAAATAATACATACTAAGTAGAGGGTGAATAAACAAAGTTAAGCCACAGAAGTAGTTTTTAGAACTACTTGTATTGTGACCTTAACACAGTTTGTTTTGCCTTTTTTGGGCGACACAAACAGGGTTTTTGTCAAACCCAGTGAAAAAAAAAATATATTGTCAAATCCAGTTTAAGACACATTCGGGGTATAAGGACAAAATAGAGGTAAGTTAAAATTAAAATATCAGACACATAATCTTGCAGACACATATTCTTGAAATGGCTACTTTTGTCACTGTAGAGTTTGATTTACTATATCGGTAAAAAATCGTCTCTCTGTTTCCATAATCCATTTTTTAATTCGATTTTTATATAAATTAAAACTTTTTGAGTTTTTTATATCATTAGATAACAGCACGTAAATTCTTGGGGCTAAATAGTTAGTATTTCTTTTCCCGATAGTTTTTTCACTTCGTGGGAAAACGATCCCTTCATATCTCCTAGTATTATTTATATATTTATTATTATATATTTATTAAATTCATTTCTTTATTTACTTATGTATTTATACCTACACCACCCATTTTAGAATTTAAATTAGAGTTTTACATAAAATTCTTTATGCTTAGGCTTATAGGAAGTTTTACCTATTATTAATAAATTATTTATTAATAATAATTGTTAACTTAATTATTTAATCAAAAATATGGATTATTTAAAATCTCTCCGAAGTATCAAACCTTGAACGTACTTTAGCAGAAGAAAAAGTTAATTTTATTAATACCGACGATGCTCCCTTAAAATTACTTCCATTTGGAAGTGCCAATGTTTTTCCAGTGGTCTTAATATCTTAGAAGCACATTTTATAAAAAAATTTTTGGAATAGCTAACAGCTTCTTCGGTTGTACTTTTTTTTAATGAAATCTTGGAAACAACGAGAAATAACATATCTCCGAACTGTATTCGCTCCGTGCGTGACAGCAGCGCCACTTCACTTTTGTATTAATGAACTATTTTGCCTATACTGACAATACAATTTTTAATAGAATTCGTAATTAAAAATCATATATGTTAGTTTCAATAAAAGTATATGGGTTTGTAAAACAAGTAAAACAATAATTTATTATTATATATTTTTATCGCTTAAACTAAAAAAATTAAATATATTCAATAAAAATCAATAATAAAATAAAGGCAGGCAACAGTATTTACGGGAAAATGTATGAGAAGTTGCCTAAGTCTAATAAGTTGTCTTTGAAGAATTAACCTATTCTATCAAAATAAAAAAATATCTTTAAATAATTAGCGTGAAGTTAAAATGTATAAACAGAAGGATTGTTATTTATATTTTCAATTTTGTTCGAAAGAAAACATAGAATGAGTGATTAAAACTGGTTTTCTATCAGTAAGTCACAAAATTGCATTCCAGACACATTCAAAATAATCCAAAGGCAGAAATATAGTTCTTGCTTCATGAACATTTAAGATTAAAGCGATGTTGAAGAACATTGTGAAATGATATTTATTGTTTATTTAAAACCTTTCAAGTTTCTGATGTCTACTATTTCCAGTATTACTGTTATTATTACAAAAATAAAGGAAATTTTTCTTTTATTGTACACATATCCATTTATTTCTTTGATTTAATTTCCACTTTGTTACTGAAAATATTTATAATTTACACTGTTTTTTATTTGCTAGTATTTTTACAATTTTCAACACAGCAACTCCGGTTGCTTATTGTATTGTTTTTACCTACTTTTTAAAAAAAAAAGTAAAATGTATACGTGTATTTGATGTGCTTAAATTACAAAATATCACCCTAAAATGCACGAATTATCCGCAGCTAGCGCTAGTATCGCTTTTGCTTCCCCTACCATGACTTCGCACTGAGCGAATAGGCGGTTGACGAAGTTTAGTAATATTAAATATGAATGAAAAGCTTACGCCATCTGTCAGTTAACATAGCAAGTAATTGAAGCAGAAGTTTATTTCAAAGGAGTTGTCGTTTCGGCAATCTGGCTAAGGTTACGGCTCTTTGGACTGGGGTAGAATGCTCAATAAGCTTGAGATGCGAAGACAGATTATTTTTCATCTCACTCGGGAGTATTTATAACGACTATTTTCTATTTCACATTGTTATTGTCTGATCCCCATTTCACATTGTTATTGTCTGATCCACCAGCTTGTGGACTGGACAATAACAATGTGAAACAGAAAATGGTTATTATAAAAACTCCCGAGTGAGATGAGAAATAAAAATGGCTGCGCTAATAGAGTCGTATCTTGTTCTATTGATACAATATGCACATTGGCTTTCTACCCCACCCCAGTTCATTGTAGTTACGTCATCAGTATAAATTTCTTCTTTTTTCCTTATTTTCGTTTATTGTTGTATGGTGTTTACGTTTTCACTATCTACCGAGTGCCAGTGTTTCATTAAAAAAATATATATATATATTTTACAAAAATCAGCCATAAGAGGCCTAACATGTGCTTCTTGTCAAGCCAGGTAGCCCTCAGATAGTCCTAGTGAAAAACTGAACCTATAAATCTGAAGAAGAAGACAAGGAAAAATAAATGTAGTCATAAATACTGACGCCGTAATCTTAGACAGATTGCCGAAAAGATATTTTAGTGTTTCCTTTGAAATAAAATTCTGCTTCTATTACGTGCTATGTAAATAGATGGGACAAAGCTCTTGCAATAACCTTGCAACTGCAATATGTCTTCCGAAGAAATCATCTATCGTTTGTGATTTGCCACTCGCTCATTGCCTAGCTTATTCTGTAATAAATTAGAATGAGCTTGGTTTGAGAGCGAGTGAGGTCATGGTACAGCTGCAGAGATAATACAGCTGTAATCAAAGCGTTCAACACATTTGCTATTGGAAAATTGTTTGATTTTATTATATTGAGAGATTTAAAATATATTCCTGATCTAATATTATTTAATTTTGAAAACTAAATTTATCCACTATTCAAAAATAGATAGAGATGTGTTCTAATTGTGCTTGTTTACAAATGAGACCGTTGCTTGCTCGAAGAAAATGGTGTATTGCTTTTAATTTTTCTCTGCCTATAACTCATGAATTCATTGCTTTTTAGGAACAGGTAAGTACTTTAAGAAACGCCAGTGATGAGTCTCAAACAAGAATATGCAATTTTTTGGCAACATGAAATGCATACGAATAATGTCTATTATAGTTTATCGTTAGTCTATGGATATATTGTTGAAGCTGTAAATTATCGGTTTCAATTGTATATGTCTGCATTTTAGAGACGTTGGGCTACAAAATAATATTCTGGTTTCATATTCGATGACCTTATATACAAATATAAGTTTAAATAGTAAATACTTATACCTAGTGCATATTGACTGACCTCGGCATAACCTGTCAAGGTTATGCCGACGACATAGTCATATTTGTTAGAGGCAAGTTTGGAAATATCCTGTGTGATATAGTCCTACGAGGACTAGAACATACCAAAAGCTGGTGCTATGAAGAGGAACTTAGTATAAACCCTACAAAAACAACACTATACTCTGTTTTTAAACTAGGAGGAGCGAATTGAAAAGACGCATTTACACAGGGAAAAGTAACTAGATTTGTTACTAAGAGCGAGTTTCGAAATATAGTCATGTTCAAAATTTATGAAATAATTATCTTCATCGGCCTTAGTCGGTGAACGGCCAATGAGCGGTTAAGAAACGAATAAATGTCATAGAAGTAATTTTTTAATTGGTCCCAGACAACGGTCGCAAATTTCACATTATTGTGATCTGAAATGTGTGTCTAAAACGAAATGTCACTGCCAAATTAAAGTCAATATGGTTGTTGATTGATATCAGAAATACTTTTTTCTTGCTTTTGAAATCGACTTTTTGAGATTAACTATGATCTTTTTAAAATGGATATTAAATATTTAAGAAAATTGTTAATGGAATATCCAGATGTAGCCAGGTTAGTATAAAATATAAAGATCTGTTTACATTTTTAAGGATATATTTGTTATAGGTATAAAAAGTAAAAGTTAATCAGTGAATGACAAGTGCATCACACAGTAACTGGTATCTCTTCTATGAGTAATGTGGATATTATGGCTTATTTAGTGTTAACCCATGGTGAATGCGCTAGAGGGCAAATACAGGCATTCAAAAGTTTACAGGTCTATGAGTCAGAATTTGTTTTGAAAACTGGAACCAACATTTTCATAACACTACATGTCAATATATATTTTTTAAAGTGAACTATTCATACATACCTATGTATTAATTTTAAGTATTTTTAAAATATTTTTTGTGAAAGTAATGTTAACTGATTGTGCCAAATTAAGATTGTCCCTAAAGTAGTAGATGGTGTTTTAAATCTTATAACAATTTTATAAATAGTTTTATTCTATTCTAATAAATAAAATTTGCTCGAATATTTAGTTACATTTTATTCATTTTGATTAGAAATTCATCAATTTTTAGTTTTAAAAAATCAGTAAAAAAATTATCATCTCTTCGTGGTAATCTCCCATCTTTTTACCTTCAAAAACCAATAATGCATTTTCTACAAAATCTTCAGAATCAGCATGTAAAATAATAAGGTGTCTTCCCTTTCTTGTAAGGCTTAAGGCTTTTCAGGAATTGCTACCTTTAATAGTACTCAGTGTAGAAGGATCCATAATTGTAGATTTTCAATACAATTACTTACTGAAGAACTATTATTTACGAAGTAAAGTAAAAAACTAATTAATGGATGAGATATCAAATTATAAAATGTCAGAACTGTCAACAATATCAATTATTAGCTGATGTCATAGCCCTCA